CGAGCCCTGTCACCCAAACACCGTGCATGTTCTTGAAAACACTAAGGAGAAATACAGCTTCCCTGTGCTCAGATTTATAAATAAACAGCTGGCTGTTCTGGGGAGATATTTTTACCGCAGCTGTTTTCTGACGTCGCAAACTGCCTCTTCGAGGGAGGCGAGGGTGTTTTTGACACCTCCCACCTCACTCCAGCCTTTAGAAAGTTGCTAAGCTCTTTTCCCTGGAGGAGAAGATATGCAAAGTAGGTTTCGTGGGTTTAGATTTCTTTTTCCTCCCTTTACTGTGGAGAGAAAGCTTGGGGAGAGTAATGAAGATCTGTGTAGCCGATGGGATTTCGGAGGGAAGGAGACCGAGCGTGTTAAGATTCTTGGGAGAAAGCCACGGAGGTCATTGGGCAGGGTGGGGAGTGGAGAGCCAGCCAGTAATTAAAACTAAAAATACTGCATCATTTGGCTTCAAGGCATTAAGTTTCACATGACGAAAGCGCCGCCTGGTTTTCTCTAATTGCACACAGTGTGTGTCCTTAGAAACAAGAGCCATGGTCGGTAGTCCTGAAATCTGATGGGCTATTTCTCATCGAGCCTTCTGAAATGAGGTTAAGAGACCATGCAGTGTGAACCGGCTCAGCCAACCCCCTGGTCATCAGGTGGCTTGGTGCGGATTCACACTTTGGAATCCACACCTGAGGGTGTAGGAGTCTCACCAGCTGTGGGACGCAGCAAAGCATGGTGGGAAGATCCTAAGGAAGTTCCACTTGGAAGGCGATCCGTGAAGAGTGCACCTGCCTAGAGGTCTTCGGGTCTTCCTGAGAAACCCGAAGGCAAAACCTCTGGGAAGGAATCGTTTGTAATCCTGGGAAAGAATAATCTGACTGTCCCTTTGGGAAGGTGTTTTCACACTGCGCTCTTAAAGAATTTCTTTTGGCCCCAGAAAATCAGGGCTAGAAAGTGGTTCGATGTAGCCACATCTTCACCCCAATCGCCTCTCCCTTTCTTTCCCCAAAGGAGAAGAGTTTGGGGGAACCAGCAGTTAACGTGATGGCTATGTCGCTGGACTCCCACGTAGTCGACCGCGGTTCACGTCCCAGACCCGGTGGCTTAAAACTTACACCGGGCACATGTGCGTGCGTACCCAAGATCCCGAGAGGAGAATGGAGGAGAAGGGATTGCGGTGTGACCATCCCTCCTGGGGGGTGATTTCTCGCCTTCTGTCTCTATGTCTCTCTCTGTCTGTCTGGCGAGCGCACACGCCCTATAGCGAAAACCTCTCCAAAAAAAAAAAAAAAAAAAAGGAGAGAGAGATTGGGAAAGCAACACTTCCACTACTTTGCCACCTCTGGGCATGGTCCCCAGCTGGGCAGGGACAGCTACACAGGGTGACAATATCTCAGGGTATGCAAAGACAGAAGGGACAGGGCCAGACCAGCTTTCTCGAAATGTCAAGCTGAAGAAAACTTTATCTGCCCTTGATCTGATTTTCTTTCCAACTCTCCTCCTTCTTCAACCTGGAAGGTATCAAGCAGACTACAAAATAAAAGGCTGTTTTTGCCAATGGATACATCAGTGTGAACTCGTCTGGTAAAGTGTTAAGGCCATCAGCCATCTGTCTCTAAAGGTGGAAAGAGATGGCTTTCTCCCATTGGAGGGAAGGGCTGGGAAAACAGGAGGTAATTATTTGGGAGCAATGGGAAGACCCTGAATATCTAGACCCCCTGCAAGTGTCAGGGTCAAAGTAAACTTTTCAGTAGCATAAAAGTTCCTGGCCCTTTTGAGTATGAGGTCTTTCTGTTTATCAAGAGTCTTTCACAGCTGTCTACCTAATAACCAGCTTCTTACAAAGAAAATACACGAACCCTAAAATGTCTCAACATCTAGAACCACACGCATATGTGAAAAATAGAACAGAGGACGGCATGAGAGACCCACTGTATACTGAGTCTACAAGCTGTCCCTTGGTGCACGCTGGGGACCAGGGACCCATAGTCTGAGAAAGCCCTGAGCCAATGGAAAGAACATTGGATTTAGAATCGAAGTCCACGTTCTGGTTCTGCTAGACCTGGGTCCGCCGTATACTCGCCACATGTAACCTGGGCTGTGACGCTAACAACTAGAACTCCTTGAGCTATTGTTTCTGGGGTTAGAGGAGTAGCATTGTTGTTTCGGTTGGGGTTTTGTTCTGCTTGTTTTGTTTGGGTAGATGTAGGAAGGAGAGAATAACTGGAAAAGGCATTTTGTAACTCCTCAGTGGAAAGAAAGGCGTAAATGGGCCAGCAGGTGGCATGGAGGTTAGGCACCGGATCCCACATAGCTGACTTCACAGTTAAGTCGAGGACCTAAGCAGCTTGCAAATCAAGCTGGGCGTGTGTAAGCTGTAAGCTGTGTGTGTGTGTGTGCACGCGTGTGTGCGTGCGTATGTGCATGCACATGCCCAACGTCCAAAAAGGAGAATGGAGAAGAGATTGTGGCGTGGCCATCCACCCGGGGTGTGAATTCTCACTTTCCCTCTCTTTCTGTGTGTGTCTCTTTGGCAAGCACATGCACCCTATCACTAGCTAGCTAAATAGATGATAAATAGATAGATAGGTAGGAAGGAAGAAGGGAAGGAAGCAAGGAAGGAAGGAAGGAAGGAAGGAAGGGAATAGTTCAACATAAGACAACAGAGCCAAGGGGGTACAGTAAACCCAGGCTGTGAACAATCAAATTCAGGACTGTCTCTAAGAGAAACAGGGATGAACTACATACATGTGTTGAGAGGAAACAGCCAGCCCAAGTGGGGATATCCACAGAAAGGTAGCGAAGCAAAAAGAAGAAAACTATTAAGACCCAGTTTGGATCTTTTTTTTTTAATGTTAAATAACTGTAGAGTTATTCACATTCATTTCTTATTATTTAGCTCTCATAAGAGTGCTTCACGGGGCCAGCAGGTGGCGCAGTGGTTAAGGTGCTAGATCCTGCATGGCCGGCTTTGCTGTTTAAGTCCCAAAGGGCTTGAAACTCATTGTGGGTGCCTGTGCGCGCATGTCCAAAATCTTGAGAGGAGAATGGAGGAGAAGGGATTGTGGTGTAAGCACCAACGCCCATGGTGGGGGAGGGAGATTTCTCTCTTTCTCTGTCTCTGGCATTTGCATTGACTATGTGTGTCCACTTCATTTGCGTCAGCTCCTCTATGTTCAGACTGATGGCTTGAAAGCTTAATGAATTAGCAGGAATATTTCTGTGGAATGTTTGGACAATATTTGCCATCACCTGGTGCACCTGGTAGGAAGAACAGGACAGGAAGTATGAAGACGCCGACTCTCTGGCCATACACCTTCTCCTGTCAGCAGCTATTCCCTCCACGTCTGTGCTGACCAGCTCTGAGCATAGACATCCGCTCTGACCACGTGCTTCAGCTAGTCACTTAAACTGTCCAAGATTAGGTCTCCACCACTTTCCCCCCATTCTCCATTTTTTAACCAGTGTCATCATTGGGGCTAGCAGGTGGCCTAGTGGTTAAGGTGCTGAACTCCCACATGCCTGCCTGCAGTTCAAGCCCCAGACCTAGCATCTTGAAAATCATGCCAGGCACTTGTTCGTGCATGCCCAAAATCCCGGGAGGAGAATGGAGGAGAAGGGATTGCATCCTGGCCATCCCCCTGGAGGTGATTTCTCACTTTCCCTCTCTCTGTTTCTCTCTGTCTCTCTTTGGCAGGCACACGCACCCTCACAGCAAAAGCCTTTTTTAAAAATTGTCATCATTTGACTGATTGACACACAATTATTGAATCAAGAGACCCAATCCAGATTTAAGTTAACCCCGACCTATGAGGCTCAGTTCTACTTCTTAAGATGTCAGGATGTCATTAGCTTCGGTCAGTGGAAAAACATCCCTAATTCTCGCCATCAACAGCTCTGACCAGGGACCAGCAGACGGCATAACGTTTACATCGCTGGACTCCCACATAGTCAACTGCAGTTCAAGTCCCAGACCCAGTGGCTTAAAACAAAGTCTGACTCTTAAGCATATATCAGACCTCTCAAATGTGGTGATTAATTAGCATTCCACCAACTAGCAGATCTGCTAATAAATTCCAGTGATCTTCTATAAATGTCTTTCCCACTTGCTGTGAAGACCTTCATTTTGGCCACGTAGACAGTAAGGAGTAAAGATTGACAGGTAAGGTCAGGGTGTCTGGCTTCAGATTTAAGGTGACCCCAGGCTTTTTCCCTTTGGGTGGGGCAGGATAAGGGATAACACAGAATATTAACTCAAAGTGCAGTCCATATTAGTGAGTTTCTGTCAAAACACATTGGACTTGGTCTCAGAATTCTCAAAATCATATTTGGGCTTTCTGTTTTTTTTCATTTTGTTTTGGTTTTATTGTGTTTTGTTTGTTTTTTGTTTTTGTTTTTGTTTTTGTTTGCTATAGGGCACATGCACTTGTTGGAGAGAGACAAAGACAGAGAGAGGGGAAAAGAAAGAAATTACCCCGAGGGTGGGTAGAGATGACCATGGCCTGATCCCTTCTCTTCTACTCTCCTCTCAGGATCTTGGGCATGCGTGCACACACACCCAAAATGTTTTCAAGCCACAGGGTCCAGGACCCTGAGGTTATCTTTTTTTTTTTCTTTTTCTTGGAGAAGTTTTTGGTATAGGGTGTGTGCAGGGCACAAGCACTCCCTAGAGAGACAGAGAGACAGAAAGAGAAATCACCCCCTAGGGGGGATGGCCACACTGCAGCCCCTTCTCTTCCATTCTACTCTCAGGATCTTGGGCACTCACGCATACCTGCCTGGCGTGAGTTTAAGCCACCAGGTCCGGGACTCCAACTTCGGTCAACTACACAGAAGTCCAGCCATTACGCCAACTGCTGATCCCCCTGAGGTTATCTTTATGGAGATGTAACCTGTCCCACTCAGACCCCTGAGCCGAGACCTCTGCCCCAGACTCCTTCCCTTCACATGGCAATGAGTCTCCAGGTGGAATCGCTGCATCTCTCTCTTTCTCTCTGTCCTCCCAGGAGCAGCACCCAGTCGGGCTTCCCCGGACCGCAGGCCCCATGCAGTCTCCGGTGCCCCCTGGCTCCAGCGGCATGGTGTCCGGAGCCAGTCCTGCGGGTCCCGGGCCCCTGGGCAGCCAGCCACAGGCAGCCATCATGAAGCAGATGCTCATCGATCAGCGGGCGCAGATGATGGAGCAGCAGAAGCAGCAGTTCCAGCAGGAGCAGCGGCAGCAGCAGCAGATCCTGGCCGAGCAGGTAAGGGGCCCCGGGCGGGAGGCCTGCCTGGGGCACCTGCTCTCTGCTAGCCGATCCCAGTTCTTCCCTCCATCAAGACGATCCTGGGCCCCCGTTTCCCAGGATCACAGAAGACCCTGCGGAATGCAGAGCTTCCAATTAGCCAAGCTTTCTTCCTATAATGAATTAGTTTGTCCTTAAAAGGCAGACTTCCGCCATCAGTTTGAAGCCCCATTTGCCAGACATTTCTTCGATTCTAGCCTGAGTCCTTTTCTTCTGATTTCTGGTACAAAAGTCTGTGTGATCAGCACATGGGAGACTTGGGGGCGGGGGTGTGAGGAGATCGCTCACATTCTTCAGAAGCCCTAATATTTCTAGCACGAAGAAAAAATAATAATTCAGAGAACTTTGTTTCTTGGAAGAAAGTGGCAGGAGAATGGATTGAGGAGAATTCTATAGACTTGGTCATGAACAATAGGCTGGGAACAATGGCAGAACAATAGGGCCCCGGAACTACCTAGAAGCCTGAACTCGGGGTCACAGAGAGGGTGCGCACTTAAGAACATTCCCCACAGCTTTTCAAACAGCTCAGGAAATCTGTGAGTTAAAGGCAGGCCTGACAGAACGACAGCTCCATCTCTGGCATTTTTGTCCACCCTGCCCTATAACTCCTCCAGCTTTGAAGGAAACCATCCCCCTGGACTGCTCCTGTAGATTTCCGTCTATTTTGTTTTTAGAGATCCCTTTGCTTGGAGTGTCATCTCAGGGAAAGGCCTGAGGCTGTCCCAAAGACATGCTGGGCGACACCTGGGAGGGTCTGCACTGGGCGTGGGATGTGTGAGGTTGCCTATGAGGCTCAAGGCCCAACACAGCTCTGCCTACAGTTCTCGTTCCTGGTGGGCTCAGAGTTTGGAGCGATTGACCGAGCATCGCCACCGTAGAATTGAGGTCTTCACAAAGTGCTTGAATAATATACGGTGAAAAAACTACACATGGATTCCCATTTGTTTCACATCAAAATAAACTCATCAGATGGCGTAATGGTTATGTGACTGGACTCCCACGTAGTCAACTGAGGTTTGAGTCCTGGACCCGGCGGCTTACACCTCACTCTGGGCACGTGTGCATGCATGCCCAAGATCCCAAGAAGAGAATGCACAACGGGGTGTGCGGTATGGCAACCCCCCTGGGGGGGGGGGTGATTTCTCGCTTTCTGTCTCTGTCTCTATCTCTCTGGCAAGCACAAGCACCCCATAGCAAAAATCTCTCAAAAATAAAATAAAATAATGGGACCAGCAGTTGGTGTAATGGCTATGTCACTGAAGTCCCATGTAGTCGACAGTGTTCGAGTCCCAGACCTGGTGGCTTAAAGTCACACCAGGTGCGTGTGCATGCGTACCCAAGATCACGAGAGGAGAATGGAGGAGCAGGGATTGCAGCGTGGCCATCCCCCCTAGGAGGTGATTTCTCGCTTTCTGTCTCTGTCTCTCTCTGTCTTTCTGGCAAGTACAAGCACCCTATAGCAAAAACCTCTCAAAAAAAAATTTAAAAAAATAAAAAATAAAATGATAGAAATAAACTCATCCCTTAAACCTATTTTTTTCACACACTTCACAGGATACTGTGTAGCACACAGGCACATCGAAATCCCTACTAACCAAGAACAGCAATTCCAAGTAAAGCCCGTCTTCTCCAAAGACAAAAAGGGCCCCTTTGGGCATAGTTCACTTATGTTCCCGTTTTGGCTTTTGTTCCTGAACAGCTGTGTAATTATCTCCCTCCTTCCCAAGGTCAGGCAGCTGGCTAGCAACTATTACCCACACAACCCTCTGCCCCCTCCCCCTGGTAAGGTGCAGGACAAGGAGCTACACTCGTATCTTGCAGGCAGTGATCAACAGAGCTGCCGAGGGAAGCTGCACTTTCTAAATTCTGTCCTCGGCCAATCCCAGGAAGCTTCACATGTACCTGACTTTTTTTTTTTTCTTTCTTTTAAGAGAGTTTGTGCACTTGCTGGAGAGACAGAGACACAGAGACAGAGATTAATCACCCCGCGGTGGGGGGTAGGGGGGATGGCCATGCTACAATCCCTTCTCCATTCTCCTCTCGGGATTTTGGGCATGGACGCTACACATGCTCGGGGTAAGTTTTAAGCCACCAGGTCCAGGACTTGAACCAGGGTGGAATATGTGGGAGGCTAGACTGCCTGATATTTTGAGTGACTGTGTGACCAGATGTAACCAGTACCAAACCCAAGCCTGGCTACCCAAAAGCCAAATGAATGTTAGTGGAAAAGAAAAGTAGATCGGGAAGCCTAGCAGCCTAGGAAGATGACAGACTAATGTCACAAAACCACTCCCCTGAGTCCTGGTCTAACCAGGATTTGTAAAGACTGAGTGCCGTGGGACCCAGCCTAGCAGCTCATCCTCATCCGGTCCCACAAAGGAATCTGGTTAATCAGGGTAGTTGTTTTCAGCTCTGGTTGGGGAGGCCAGACCCGATTATCAGGGAAGACGTTTTTTATCTTCCTCGAGCACATCTGCTTCCTGGGTGCCGTCTCAAGGCCAGGTCTCTGCAGGTCACTAAAGCTACGATTAGTTTTTGCAAGTTAAGCAAGGTATGTTATTAAAAAGGAATCTAGAGACCAGCAGATGATGTAATGGACACCCCACATGGCTGACCAAAGTTTAAGTCCCGGACCTGGAGGCTTAGAACCCATGCTGGGTACGTGCGCGTGCGAGCCCAAGATCATGGGAGGAGAAGGGAAGGGAAGGGATTGTGGCGTGGCCAACCCCTGGGGGTTTATTTCTTGCTTTCTATCTCTGCCTATCCAGTGAGCATTTAGGTCCTTTAGCAAAGATCTCAAAAAAGAAAAGAAAAGAGACGAAATCTATTGTCTTAGGTTTAAAATGGAATGTGGTTCCGCTTACAGCCTGCCTATGATGGCTTTTGGTATGTCTGCCCTGGCCAAGGCCCGAAAGGGACTCAGGCAGAGCTCAGCTGTGCCAGCCACCCAGCCAGGTCCTGGGGAATGAGGAGGGAGGCAGAGGCACGAAACAGAAGCAGGAGACCCCTCAGAATCCAGGGCGCAGAGGGGTACAGGGCTCCTTGGCCAGGAGGAGAGGAGTGGTTGCTGTGACCTGTGTCCAGTTCTCAGCGGCTATGTGCACTAAGTGATGGACAGAGGCCAAGCTCGATCACCTTACTGGGGCTCAGACTTGGCCCCTTCTTTTCCTTGCAATGTGATTTTGGAAATCACTTCTCTCTTCAGCTGCCAGGTTAAGTTTTTTGTTTTTGCTTTTGTTTTTGTTTTTGTTTGAGAGGTTTTTTGATATAAGGTGCCTGTGCTTGCCAGAAAGACAGAGACAGAGAGACAGAAAGTGAGAAATCACCCCCCGGGGAGATGGCCACGCCGCAATCCCTTCTCCTCCATTCTCCTCTCGGGATCTTGGACACGTACACACACGCGCCCAGCATGAGTTTAAGCCACTGGGTCAGAGGCTCAAATCACGGTCGACTACATGGGAGTCCAGAGATATAGGCATTGTACCAACTGCTTGTCCCTGGTTAAGTTTTCATGGGTTTCCAGCCCTCTTCATATAACTGTTTTAAGGACCACACGAGACTATGTCCGGAGAATTCTTTGGAGACTTTGTGGTCTGCACGAATGTGTGTGGGGACCTGTCACGTGAGCCTGGTGTCAGGGAGCGCTGGGTAAGTCCGACCACCACCTGCACCTGCCAGGTCGAGGTAGTGTCTTCCCAGCACCTGGAGACCACGCTCCTGAGGCAAGCTCGCGCAGGGCTACGCGCGGTGAGCTCTGCACTTCTCGTTTGGAGAACGAGTATGGCTGATTTTCTTGGTCTCTGCAGCACGTGTCCTCGCACTTCCACTCTTAGAAACGACGTAGTGGGAACACTTGGCTTTCCTGAAAGGACACGTGAGGATAAGCAGAAGGATTTGGGATCCTCCGCCTCTTTGGGAACTTTAGAATGATCCTCAGCAGACTTGCATGGCAGAGCCGAGCAGGTTGAAAGCAGGAGTGAATTATTTAATGCCTGATTCTCAGGGAGCGTAAAGCCTGACGTCTCTCATCCATTCACAGAGGTCTGACAGGGCTTAGAATTTTAGATCTGACAGAAACACTAGCAATCGCGAGGTCCTGTCATTTTATAAATGAGGAAACTGAGGCCAGGGAGCTTATCCGCTTTCTCTAGAGAGAGGCAGAGCAGGGTGGAATGCAGACCTCTGACTCCAGGTCACACCCTCCCTCACCAGAGACTGCCTCGGGCGTACTCCTAGTGGAAGTAGGGCAGTTACCTCTTATGTAACACAGGGAGTTTGACTGAGGAGAAGCTTTTTTTTTTTTTAAATAAATGTAGGGCACAGGCACTCACCAGAGAAAGACAGAGAGAAAGGGAAAGTGAGAAACCCCCCTCCTCCAGGAGGGATGACCCGCTGCAGTTCCTTCTCCTCTGTTCTTTCGGGATATTGGGCACACACGCACACGTGCCCAGCGCAGCTCTCAAGCCAGTGAGTTCAGGACTTGTACCGAGCAGTTGGCCATGTGGGATCCAGCGCCTTGACCTCCACACCACCTGCTGACCCAAAGCTTTTAGACTCATCTCTTACTCAATAATGCCCTCATATTGTTGTCTACAAGGTCTACCCGGTTTGTTGTCTATGCTTTGATTGAGCTTCACCATCAGCGAACTGCAAGTTTTCTGCAGCTCACTGTCCTGGGACTGCAGGGCAGAAGCTGCTGGATGCTTTGTTTGACATAATGCCAGCTGGCCTTCCAGAGAAAAAGAAAAAGGCAAAAGAAAATTATAGGGTTGCCCAGGAACGAACACAAGAGGAAAAAAATACAGATAAACACATGCGTTAAGGAGTGGTCAGTGTGTGTGATTTCTGTAATGAACACTCCGCGTACAAAGAGCGGGACCTTGCTGTCGGGTCTTTATAGCTCTCCCAGATGAAAGGGCCTTAATGAACATTCAGCTGCTCAGTCGGGAGGTTAAACAACACACCGAAGGTCGCCCAGCTACTTGGCCCGGACCTCCAGCGAAAACCTTGTACTCTGGTCTTTCCACCTCACTCTTACGTGCTCCCCCTGTGCACAGACGGCGTGAGGGTGGTCAGAGCAGCCTCCCAGCACATCGGGGACAGCACTAGCAGACCAGAATCCCCGGGAGTGGGATGAGAAAGACTAAGCCACGGGCCTCCTGGCTCCCGGGATCTGTGCGGTCCCACGTAGGGTCCTCAAAGCAGCCAATGCGAGTACTTTCCTCACAGAGATGCATTTTCCAGGCAGTGTGGCTTCATGGGAGTAAGATGAGCCCTTCTTTCTAGCCCCCGAGGATTCCATCTTCCTATGCCCAAAGCAGCTATTGAGGTCATTAAAAAGCAGTTGCTTAGGGGCTGGCAGGTAGCAGAGTGGTTAAGGCACTGGACTCCCGCCTGGCCAACCCTGGTGACTCACTTTCTCACTTTCCCTCTCTCTCGTCTCTCTGTCTCTCTCTGGTCAAATTCAAAATAATAATAATAAATGAAGTGAAATAGAAATCATTGTATTTTTTAAAAATGTAGTTGCCTGAAGGCCGGCAGGTGGCATGGTGTTTAAGGGTGCGGGATTCCCACATGGCGGACCACAGTTCAGGTCCTGGACCTGGCGGCTTGCTTCCTCACCTTCTCTCTCTCTCTCTTTCTCTTTCTCTGACTTTCTCTGATCAAATTAAATAATAATAAATACAATTTTAAAAATAATTCTTTTTTTCTTTTCTTTTTCTTTTTCTTTCTCTTTTTCTTTTTCTTTTTTTTTTTTTTTTGTTTTTTTTTTTTTTTTTTTTTTTTTTTTTAAGTAGTTGCTTGTCCCTTTGAGCTCGGCACCCTTGGTGCTGAGAAAAGCCCTCAGGTTGACGTTGGGAAGTCAAGTCAAACCCGCCTCCCTCTGAATGCACTCCTCCTAACCAGCAAGTCCTCCCCCTATAAATGTGTACCGGGGACACCAGAAGGCATGCACAGGGGTGCTCATAATGGTGATATTGGTAATAGCCCAAATCTGGAAATACCCTACAAGGCTATCGCTAGCCGTCACCAGACAGGGGAATTGAGCTGTGTGGTGTGAAATATTCGGTTGTGTCCAGGTCTTGAAGGTTAGAGACCCACCCTGAGAAGAAAGAAAGTCGCAAACATGAGTAAAGTAGGGAGAGAGAAGGTTTTAATAGAAAAGTGAAGTTGTGTTTTTGTTTGTTGGCTTTTGAGAGGTTTCTGCCTTAGGGCACATATGCTCCCTGGAAAGAGAGAGACAGAGACAGTGAGAGGAGAACGTGAGAACACATCACATCCCTTTAGGGGGATGGCCACACTGCAATCCCTTCTCCGTTCTTCTCCCAGGATCTTGGGCACACACACACATATGCGCCTGGTGTCATTTTAAAGCCACCGGGTCCAGGACTCGAACCACCTTCGGTCCTGAGGGAGCTCAGTGACACAACGACTACACCATTGCTGGTCTCAAAGTGAAATTTTTATTTTTTTTAATTAAATAATTATTTATTTTATTTATTTGTTCACATGAGTTTTATCAGAAAAAGAAAGAAAGAGAGGGAGAGTGAGAAAGCAAGCCTCCGTATCCGAGACTCAAACAGCCGTGGGAATTCTAGTGCCTTAATCACCACACCACCTGCTGGTCCCGAGTAAAGTTTTTTTTAAACAGAGAAAGAACATTCCACGCCATCAAGACACATGAGTGGGCGGATATCAGAGGACAACTGCACTGGGAATAGGGCTAGGTGTTACTTTTTTTTTTTTAAGAGGTTTTTGCTTTAAGAAAGACAGAGACAGGGAGACAGAAAGCGAGAAATCACCCCCTGGGGGGATGGCCACACTGTAATCCCTTCTCCTCCATTCTCGGGATCTTGGGCATGCACGCACACGCACCCGGCGTGAATTTAAGCCACCGGCCCCAGGACTCGAGCCACAGTTGACTACATGAGAGTCCAGTGACATGGCTAGTACGCCAACTGCTGGTCCCGCTAGGTATTACTTTACTTTTATTCAGGATCTTGTCATCCATACTGGGGGTGGGGGTGGGGGGGGTGTCTGTCAGTGTAGCTGGCTCCTTTGTTTGAATTCGTGGGCTTCTACTTGCGATTGCCTACCTCTCAGGTAGTCTCTGCCTGGCTGGTTACGCATGCCCAGTGTGGACTCGGAATGAGCATTGCACAGGGACAGTTCTGCCCCTTCAGTTTATTGCCCTGCATGGGAAGTGAGATGTTGACCCAGCATCCCAGTGAGTTCCTGTGTGCATATGTGGAATGCCCGGAGGGAAGAATAAACACAGATAACCTCTCCTCTCTCGGTGGCGCCAGGGGGTCTACCTGTGATCCCTGGTGACAGTGATGGATGTGTCAAATGTCCCCTTTGTTGGCTTTTTGGGACTCTCTGCTCAGAACATCTACTCTCACAGCAGAGTGGGTAAATACACCAGGATATGTTCACACGCTGGAATACTGCTCGGCCGTGGGCGTGGACGTACGGCAGGTGTGCACAGCAGCACGGAGACAGGTGCGCCGGACCAGCCACAAAAGCAGTGTCGTATCGTCCTTTTCTACAAAGTACCAAAGCAGACAAACAGGAGCCAGCAGGTGGTGTGGTGGTTAAGGCGCTGGACTCCCACGTGGCCAACCACCATTCAAGTCCCACACTGGTAGCTTGAAAATCATGCTGGACACATGTACATACATGCCCAGAATCCCAGGTGGAGAGCTGAGGAGAAGGGATCGTGGCATGGCCATCCCTCCTGGGAAGTGATGTCTCCCTATCCCTCTCTCTGTCTCCCTCTGGTGAGCACACATGCCCTATAGCAAAAACGTAAAACAATGAATAGATAAAAGCAGATACGTAATCTGTGTTGTTAAAAGTTAGGAAAAGCAGTTACATAATCTGTGTTGTTAAAAGTTAGGGTCACGGTGCCTCTGGGTCAGGGGAAGCTGAAGACGGGGCACAAGGGCTCCTGTTTCTTGATCTGGGAGCTGGAATTCCGAGGCGTGTTCGTTTTGGGAAAAATGCATCCAACCGCACATCCATGCTCTGAGCACGTGCCTGTATTTTCTTCATTTTTTTGGAAAGGTTTTTTGCTATAGGGCGGGTGCGCTCGCCAGACAGACAGAGAGAGACATAGAGACAGAAAGCGAGAAATCACCCCCCAGGGGGGGATGGTCACGCTGCAATCCCTTTTCCTCCATTCTCCTCTCGGGATCTTGGGCACGCACGCACATGCGCCCGGCATGAGTTTTAAGCCACCGGGTCTGGGACGCGAACCACAGTTGACTACGTGGGAGTCCAGCGACATAGCCATTACGCCAACTACTGGTTCCCTATGTTCTTCATTTTTGAAAAACAAAGCCTTGCTTCCCTCAGAAGTGCCGGGAGTTCATTGCCTGCTCTCTCCCCATCTCACCTCCCTCTCTGTCCTCTGTCTTCCAGCAGTTGCAGCAGTCGCACCTGCCCCGGCAGCACCTCCAACAGCAGCGGAATCCGTACCCAGTGCAGCAGGTCAATCAGTTTCAAGGTGAGGTCAGCGCACACCTCCGCCATCGCACACCTTCCACTCACGAAGTGCGAGTGTGGGGGACGCCTGTAGCTTTGCCTTATATGCTGTATTTATGTCCAGGTAACATGCAAAATATGTAAGCGGACCAGTGGTGGCTAACCCACATGGGAAGGTTCTGGGTTCATGTCCGGAGACCTCCCTGTACATGCTGGGTGTGGACGTACCTTGATCCCAGGCTGGCTAAGGCTGGGAGCGGATCACAGTGTCATAACTCTGTTGGGGATGTCTGTATTTTCTCTTTCTGTCTCTGTCTCTCTGTTTCTTAGTCATTGGAGAAATAATTTTGTTTAATTGACAACTGGTAGGATAAGAGTACCAGCCAATCAGAGTGGAGTATTACAGGGTCCCTATTATGCCAGGCCTGAAACTTTTGATCACTGAGTCAAGTCCTTAGTGGGCCCAGGAAGTTGTCAGGGTAGTTCTGAGAGGCAAGTCTGGGGCAGCTGCTCTTTACCCAGCGTGCAAAGCATTTCAGTAGTTTAACAACGCCTGGTGCCTGTTGGTCCACTCAGCCTTCCTTATGTCTGTGTCATCATTGGAGTGACCACAGGGACAAAAATTCTGTGCCAGAGCTTTCTTACTAATCCCAGCAGGTCAGGTGACCAAAGCCCTCACTTCTACCAACTCCAAGGAAAAATCTGACTGCAACAACTACTGGTCTCTGCTCCCTGCAGAATTAGAGAAGACCAACAGGGCCTCAGGTTTGGATGGTCCTGATCCTGAATGTTTTGCAGAAATACCAAACCAGGATCCCAGTGTCAACGGGTGCATCATACACAGCACTGCCACGCCTCTGTACATAGGGAGGCCCAGCCAGATGCCAAACACTTCCACCTCTACAGAGAGAGCCCTGGAGGGGCAGAGGAAGAGCTAAAGGACCCTTTACAATCTTATCCACAGGAATTTCCAGAAGGCTGCAAGGGCACTGGCAGCAGAAATTCCAATTCCCACCCTCTCCCTGTTTGTGGAATCTAGATCAGTGTGCCCTAACTTCTCAAGGGCCGCATAGCCCTTTAAGAATCTGCAGAGAGAGCAGCAGATGGCGTGGTGGTTAAGGCTCTGGACTCCCAACTGGAGTTCAAGTCCCAGACCCAGTGACTTGAAAATCACTCCAGACACATGTGCATGTTGTCCAATATCCTTAAAAGAGAATGGAGAAAGGGATTGTAGCATGGCCATCCTCCCAGAGGGGTAATTTCTCACTTTCCTCTCTCACTGTCTCTCTGTCTCTCTCCAATGAGCGTATCCACATTATGGCAAAAACCTAGGGGAAAAAAAAAAAAGAAAGAAAAGAATTTGCTGAGAGCCATGAAGCTCCTTTGCACAGAAATATACATATATGTAAATACATGCAAACTTTTATATCATTCACAAGTGTTTACTTTCTGAACTACAAATTGGCTGAATGAAAAAAAAATCCTAATCGAGGGTAGCATTTTTCAGTCTTTCCGTTGCAATACATAAACTAATAAAGACAATTTCATAGGTCACAGCCAACATTTTTTTTCAGAGTATATCAGAATCTTCATTTCTGTAATAAACCCATGAGTATATCATATACTGTGGAATGTGCTTTAAAGAGGCTGAAATCCACTGATGTTTACAGACAGATCTCAACGGAGACCGCCCAGGAAAATACTGGCCTCTCAGGTAGTCTCTGCCTGGCTGGTTACGCATGCCCAGTGTGGACTCGGAATGAGCATTGCACAGGGACAGTTCTGCCCCTTCAGTTTATTGCCCTGCATGGGAAGTGAGATGTTGACCCAGCATCCCAGTGAGTTCCTGTGTGCATATGTGGAATGCCCGGAGGGAAGAATAAACACAGATAACCTCTCCTCTCTCGGTGGCGCCAGGGGGTCTACCTGTGATCCCTGGTGACAGTGATGGATGTGTCACATGTCCCCTTTGTTGGCTTTTTGGGACTCTGCTCAGAACATCTACTCTCACAGCAGAGTGGGTAAATACACCAGGATATGTTCACACGCTGGAATACTGCTCGGCCGTGGGCGTGGACGTACGGCAGGTGTGCACAGCAGCACGGAGACAGGTGCGAGGGACCAGCCACAAAAGCAGTGTCGTATCGTCCTTTTCTACAAAGTACCAAAGCAGACAAACAGGAGCCAGCAGGTGGTGTGGTGGTTAAGGCGCTGGACTCCCACGTGGCCAACCACCATTCAAGTCCCACACTGGTAGCTTGAAAATCATGCTGGACACATGTACATACATGCCCAGAATCCCAGGTGGAGAGCTGAGGAGAAGGGATCGTGGCATGGCCATCCCTCCTGGGAAGTGATGTCTCCCTATCCCTCTCTCTGTCTCCCTCTGGTGAGCACACATGCCCTATAGCAAAAACGTAAAACAATGAATAGATAAAAGCAGATACGTAATCTGTGTTGTTAAAAGTTAGGAAAAGCAGTTACATAATCTGTGTTGTTAAAAGTTAGGGTCACGGTGCCTCTGGGTCAGGGGAAGCTGAAGACGGGGCACAAGGGCTCCTGTTTCTTGATCTGGGAGCTGGAATTCCGAGGCGTGTTCGTTTTGGGAAAAATGCATCCAACCGCACATCCATGCTCTGAGCACGTGCCTGTATTTTCTTCATTTTTTTGGAAAGGTTTTTTGCTATAGGGCGGGTGCGCTCGCCAGACAGACAGAGAGAGACATAGAGACAGAAAGCGAGAAATCACCCCCCAGGGGGGGATGGTCACGCTGCAATCCCTTTTCCTCCATTCTCCTCTCGGGATCTTGGGCACGCACGCACATGCGCCCGGCATGAGTTTTAAGCCACCGGGTCTGGGACGCGAACCACAGTTGACTACGTGGGAGTCCAGCGACATAGCCATTACGCCAACTACTGGTTCCCTATGTTCTTCATTTTTGAAAAACAAAGCCTTGCTTCCCTCAGAAGTGCCGGGAGTTCATTGCCTGCTCTCTCCCCATCTCACCTCCCTCTCTGTCCTCTGTCTTCCAGCAGTTGCAGCAGTCGCACCTGCCCCGGCAGCACCTCCAACAGCAGCGGAATCCGTACCCAGTGCAGCAGGTCAATCAGTTTCAAGGTGAGGTCAGCGCACACCTCCGCCACCGCACACCTTCCACTCACGAAGTGCGAGTGTGGGGGACGCCTGTAGCTTTGCCTTATATGCTGTATTTATGTCCAGGTAACATGCAAAATATGTAAGCGGACCAGTGGTGGCTAACCCACATGGGAAGGTTCTGGGTTCATGTCCGGAGACCTCCCTGTACATGCTGGGTGTGGACGTACCTTGATCCCAGGCTGGCTAAGGCTGGGAGCGGATCACAGTGTCATAACTCTGTTGGGGATGTCTGTATTTTCTCTTTCTGTCTCTGTCTCTCTGTTTCTTAGTCATTGGAGAAATAATTTTGTTTAATTGACAACTGGTAGGATAAGAGTACCAGCCAATCAGAGTGGAGTATTACAGGGTCCCTATTATGCCAGGCCTGAAACTTTTGATCACTGAGTCAAGTCCTTAGTGGGCCCAGGAAGTTGTCAGGGTAGTTCTGAGAGGCAAGTCTGGGGCAGCTGCTCTTTACCCAGCGTGCAAAGCATTTCAGTAGTTTAACAACGCCTGGTGCCTGTTGGTCCACTCAGCCTTCCTTATGTCTGTGTCATCATTGGAGTGACCACAGGGACAAAAATTCTGTGCCAGAGCTTTCTTACTAATCCCAGCAGGTCAGGTGACCAAAGCCCTCACTTCTACCAACTCCAAGGAAAAATCTGACTGCAACAACTACTGGTCTCTGCTCCCTGCAGAATTAGAGAAGACCAACAGGGCCTCAGGTTTGGATGGTCCTGATCCTGAATGTTTTGCAGAAATACCAAACCAGGATCCCAGTGTCAACGGGTGCATCATACACAGCACTGCCACGCCTCTGTACATAGGGAGGCCCAGCCAGATGCCAAACACTTCCACCTCTACAGAGAGAGCCCTGGAGGGGCAGAGGAAGAGCTAAAGGACCCTTTACAATCTTATCCACAGGAATTTCCAGAAGGCTGCAAGGGCACTGGCAGCAGAAATTCCAATTCCCACCCTCTCCCTGTTTGTGGAATCTAGATCAGTGTGCCCTAACTTCTCAAGGGCCGCATAGCCCTTTAAGAATCTGCAGAGAGAGCAGCAGATGGCGTGGTGGTTAAGGCTCTGGACTCCCAACTGGAGTTCAAGTCCCAGACCCAGTGACTTGAAAATCACTCCAGACACATGTGCATGTTGTCCAATATCCTTAAAAGAGAATGGAGAAAGGGATTGTAGCATGGCCATCCTCCCAGAGGGGTAATTTCTCACTTTCCTCTCTCACTGTCTCTCTGTCTCTCTCCAATGAGCGTATCCACATTATGGCAAAAACCTAGGGGAAAAAAAAAAAGAAAGAAAAGAATTTGCTGAGAGCCATGAAGCTCCTTTGCACAGAAATATACATATATGTAAATACATGCAAACTTTTATATCATTCACAAGTGTTTACTTTCTGAACTACAAATTGGCTGAATGAAAAAAAAATCCTAATCGAGGGTAGCATTTTTCAGTCTTTCCGTTGCAATACATAAACTAATAAAGACAATTTCATAGGTCACAGCCAACATTTTTTTTCAGAGTATATCAGAATCTTCATTTCTGTAATAAACCCATGAGTATATCATATACTGTGGAATGTGCTTTAAAGAGTCTGAAATCCACTGATGTTTACAGACAGATCTCAACGGAGACCGCCCAGGAAAATACTGGAGCTTGGGGACCCGCAGGTGGCATAGTGGTTAAGGCACTGGGACTTGGGGACCAGCAGGTGACATTGTGGTTAAGGCACAGGACTCCCACATAGCGATTCAAATCCTGAACCTGATGGCTTGAAAATCTCACCAGGCACGTGTGTGAGTGCTCAGAATCCCAGGAGGAGAATGAAGGAGAAGGGGTTGTGGCATGGCCTTCCCCCCGAGAGGTGATCTCTCACTTTTCCTCTGTCTCTCTCTCTGCCTCTCTCCTTCTGGCTAGTGCACATGCCCTATGGTAAAAACCTAAAAAATATAAGAAAATAATGGGGCTTGAATGACTACCACTTGCTTCTGCTCCTAGAACATTTATGTCAACTTCAAACATAACGCCGGGAAGGACAGAAGGAATTAGACTGTCCAGAGGTGTTCTGCTCCCTGAATCAGTGCCAATATTCGTTGAAGAATTGTTCCTAATTGCGCCATAAGTGGGGAGGAGCAGGGATGGTCGTCGATGCCCATGCAGCGTGGCTGCAGGTACAGAGCCCTCCCTGTACCTGCCGTCATCACCCCTGAGCCTGCACCAGAATTGCCCCAGAAATGGTGAAACAGACAGTGCCACCTGCCCCCAGTGGTTCTGACCCTGCAGGCCTGGGGCAGGGCCTACAAGCCTGCCTTTCTAGCAAGTTCCCAGTTGTTTGTTCTGGGGCTGCGAGATCACACTTGGAAACCACTGCTTTGTATTATGAACTAACTAAAAACACAAAACCTGATAAATCCAGCATTAGAGTCCCTTAAATTGTCTAGGTTCGTAATGCATTTATTATTTTTTAGAACGAAAGGACCCACCACATTTAGTAATTTGTCTGCATTACAGAACATAGACATACACTTACGTGAGCTATTAGGAACGCCTTGGGTCCAGTTTTAAAATTCTACTGCAACTTTGCTGAAACCCCAAACCATTGGTAACTGACTTAGGAACTGAGCTGCAATTAAACTAAACAACCAATATGAGTTTTCAATCCCTGAGCTGATAGGTTTGAGATACAATTTTTTTCGTAGAGAGATTTTTGCTATAGGGCATATGCACTTACCAGAGACAGAGAGAAAGTGAGAAATCAGCCCCCAGGGGGGATGGCCACACCATCATACCTTCTCCATTCTCCTCTCAGGATTTTGGGCATGCATGCAAATGCACCTGGCATGAAGTTCTACCCACTGGGTCCAGGACTTAAACTGCTCAGTCAGCCACATGGGATCCAGTTGCCTTAACCTCCACGCTACCAGCTGGCCCCAGTAGTTTTATATATTTTGCTAACATTCTAGATAGCATGCTGTTGTGTATTTGGGATAAAAGCGAATTGAGAAATGAGAAATATTGTCCTTGGAAAGAAGTTCTGTTAGGCGTAAGCTGTGTAGGATCCCACGCCATGCTCTCTTCCATACTCATTGCAAAGGTCTCCTTGCAAGGCCTTAATGACTATCTTTTGCTCATGGAGTTTTGAGCCTCTGGGCAATGTTATATGCCTATGGGGAAATGCTTATTTTCACAATACAGGCGTCCTATAGTTGAGTGGATATAGAACATACACCATTTCAACAAAAATGTGCGTATTATTGTCTTTAGTTGACTATGGATGATTTTAACCAGCAGACAAGAAAATTAATTTGATTACAGCATCTCATAATAATATCTGTTATAGACAAAAAGCAGCCCATCTTTAATATATGTAGTCTTCAGGTAAAGTCACGTTAATTCTCTGGATGCATTTGAATTTTTTTTTATTTATGTAAAATAACTGAAGGCCTAAAATTCATGAAAGGCTTTTTAGCTCTCTTAGCTTGAATATATTGTGTGGTTCCTGATTTTAAAATGCCTTTTTTTAAAAAAAAAAAATAAATAAATAAGAATTGCATTGAAATAGTGCAGGTCATTTACATGAAGTAAAAATAAAGGTTCGTGTGGATTAATGTTTCTCTGCCTATTAAAAGTCATTGCAGCATTTCTGCCCTCTACGAAAAATGACCTATTTCTCATTCACAGAATTAGCCATGCAACATCCAGTCCCCTCAATGCATCCATTATAAGTATATAACAAAAATGTCCAACTTATGAACGTTTTCTCATCTATTTCCATCAGCCCATCAGCCTGTTTATGTAATTTGGGTCTGACCAATCAGTCTCTGAGTCAGCAATATTTTTCCTTTAAACTTTTTTTAGAAACAACTCAATAACCCATTTCACTGTAGTTGATCCAATTGGGCAGCCAGTCGATACAAATTTAGTCTTTAAGGTCACCAAACTTTATAATAAGATTACAAGTTGCAGCCTATGCTACCGTCCTGTGTTTAACCAGGAACTTTTGATTTTTTCCAAAAAAAAAAAAAAAATCACTTAGATTTAATTAACTTTAATAAAAAAAAAAATTTTTTTTTTTTTGGAACTATTTCTAGGGATTTCCGTCATGGTCTTCAGGTTTCCCTATAGCAACCATTTCATTTTTCAATGTAGTATAATATCGATCTCAAGCCACAAAAACTTAAGTCATAATCAAAATTCCCATAATTTTCTCTCTTAAAGAAAGGAAGAAAATATGGAGACATATTTGCTGCCCAGAAATCAATAACCCTATCAGGAAGACAAAAACAAACAAAAAGCAAAAAAAAAAGCACTGAACAGTGCTTTCATTGTCTGCCAAGGTGCCAGGTTTAACAAGGGTAGACTATTCTCATTTGGTTTCTCATTACAGTTCCAGGTAGAATAAAATTTGCTTATAATATTGACTGGCTCTTATACAGGGTCTTCTTTAAATGTCCAGAAAAAAAAACTATTTTTCTCATAGACATCATTAGCAGGGACATAAAAAAAAATCTATTTTTATGCACCTCCTCGCCCCTCACAGCATTGAGTGGTATTCCATGGGTGACATTTCCATTCTGTTGGCTGGTTTGGAAATTTCCCGAGACTATGCAAAGAAGGACTCTCTCAAATGCCTAATTAAGGCTGAATGACTTGGTGTTGATACTCTGGCCAGCTTTTAAACAGCATCATTAAAACTGGGGTAGTGATCTGCCAAGAGAAATAGTCACTGAAGATTCGAAGGAGTGAACTTTGCTGCAGAAATGAATCAAGTCCATTGCCAAGTGGAAGGCTGATTTCTTTTTCCAGTTGAAAGTTGGCCCGTTTGCATTGATGTGTAATGATTCAGATAATCTGGAGCCTGTGAGAGTCTACAGAGTGGATCCAAAAAACTGGCCCATCTGTCAGAAGTGATTCTTAGCAGAAGTGGTGGCCTTTAACCTCTCAAATCCTACTCAAGTCTTAAGGGAAATTAGCCTAATGGTCTTTATCGATAGAATTCTCTGCAGTGCCCCATTCTACTTCACAAATAGAATATGTGCAGCGACCATCCAGATTTTTTTTTTTCTTTAGTTTTTGCTATAGGGCACTTGTACTCACTGGAGAGACAGAGTGAGAGAGAAAGAGGGAAAGTGAGAAATCTTCCCCCAGGGGGGATGGCCACATCCTCTCGGGATTTGGGACATGCACACACACACACACACACAGACCCCTAGTGGGATTTTCAAGCCACCGGATCAGGGACTCAAACTGTGTAGTCAAGCATATGAGATCCAGCCTCCTTAACTTCCATACCACCTCCAGGCCCCCATTTCTTCTTAACTTAGCCCAAAAGGTGAATTATCTCTCACTTTCAGCACAAAATCGGATCTTATCCATTGAGACTGATATCAGATGCAGAACAGTGAGAAATCATTTGTTTCTGAAGTATACAAAAAAAAATGTAATACTAGGGTATGCTAAGTGGAAAAGTCAACTATAAAAACATGTGATGGTCTGATCCTAATTTTTGTGCCTGTCTAGTAACACGTCAATAATAGCAGTGGTCATCCGCTGGGATGGTGGAAACTTGGATGGCTTTCACTGTTGTCTGTGGGCTTTCCAAGTGTGTTGCCATCAGTGTTTGTTATAATCACAAAAATAATCACGTTGCTATTAGAGATTTATTGATCCTTTCATTTAAAGGAACTTTATCATCCCCCCCCAAAAATTCCAGCCCCCTGTTTCAATATGTTGTCTGTGGACAAGAGTGAGCACTGTGTGTCCTTTTGCTCCTCGCAGGTTCGCCTCAGGACATAGCAGCCGTGAGAAGCCAGGCAGCCCTCCAGAGCATGCGAACGTCCCGGCTGATGGCGCAGAACGCGAGCATGATGGGAATGGGACCCTCACAGAACCCAGGGACCATGGCCACAGCAGCCGCCCAGTCGGAGCTGGGACTGGCCCCGTATAGCACCACGCCAACCAGCCAGCCGGGAATGTACAGTATGAGCACAGGAATGACCCAAATGCTACAGCACCCAAACCAAAGTGGCATGAGCATCACCCACAGCCAACCCCAGGGACCCAGGCAGCCTGCCACTGGGCAGGGGGTAGGCATGGTGAGTGGGTTTGGTCAGAGCATGCTGGTGAACTCGGCTATCCCCCAGCAGCACCAGCAGATGAAAGGGCCAGTGGGCCAGGCCTTGCCTCGGCCCCAGGCCCCTCCAAGGCTTCAGAGCATCATGGGCACTGTCCAGCAAGGTGCACAGAGCTGGCCACAGCGGAGCCTGCAAGGCATGCCTGGGAGGACTAGTGGCGAATTGGGACCATTCAACAATGGCGCCAGCTACCCACTTCAGGCCGGCCAACCCAGACTGACCAAGCAACACTTCCCCCAGGGACTGAGCCAGTCGGTGGTGGATGCCAACCCTGGTGCCGTGAGAACCCTCAACCCGGCTGCCATGGGCCGACACGTGATGCCACAGCTCCCGGGACAGCAAGGGGCCAGCCAGGCGAGGCCCATGGTCATGTCCGGTCTGAGCCAGGGTGTCCCTGGCTTGTCCGCATTCAGCCAGGCCCCAGCCCAGCAGCAAATGCCCAGTGGCAACTTTGCTCCAAGCAGCCAGAGCCAGCCCTACGAGCGGAACCCGCCTCAGGACTTGTCATACAATTACACGGGTGAAGGGGCCGGGGCTTCCTTCGCTGGCCTCGCGGACAGCGCCGACCTTGTGGACTCCATTATCAAAGGGGGGCCGGGCGACGAGTGGATGCAGGAGCTGGATGAATTGTTTGGTAACCCCTAGTCAGAGGGGTCCCCAGAGCCACCCTCTAGTGGTTAAAGCTTAAAAGTCAAAAAGAAACAGGATGTTGACCCATCCTAGTTTTTTGTTTTATTGACCCACGTAAACTGAGTTACACTGCAGCTGGCGGGCGGTGGAAGATCCGGGTGCCCATCCACAGCCCCCTCGGGCCGCCTTCCACCTGATCTTCACAGCCGTGGAGAAAGCGCTGCAGTGCAGGCCCCTGCTGCAGAAGACGGAGACGCACAGGGGCGGGGAACAAAGCCAGCAAAGCCCCTCTGCCCCGCGCTCCCCAGATCTCACCACCCAGCAAGAGCTGTCAAGCCTAGGGGGCTGTAGCCGGAGGGGAGGCACCATCACCCCTCCTGCCCAGGACCGGAGACTGCAGCTTCGGAGGTACAAGAGACAGGTGCAGAACGCCAGCCGGGAGAACCCCGCAGAGGCTGCCGGGCGGTCACACAGGCCCAGTGCCTAGGCCAGAAATGCCCTGCGCTCTGGGCAGAACTGGACGTCAGGTGTCAAGACATGCTGCTGTATTTGGAAAGTAGACACAAAGAGGGAGGTGGCCACAGGGAGGCGACAAAGGAGTTCACAGGCCCATCTGTCTTCTGCCCAGGATGACCCTCGGGAACTATCATGGCATGGCAGGTGGCCACCTCATAAGACGGCCAACCAGGCTTGGTAAAGGGTCTGTCCAGCCGTCCAGGAAGGCCAGCTCTGTGCTGCATTCGCTCCTGGTTGGCTTGGAGCTTCCGGCGGCCAGGTACAATGTGAACACTTCCAGGTCATGCTCATCCGTCCTGGTGGCTGTGGAGTGGACAGCGCCCTGCGGGATCCTGTGTCCACCAGCCTGGCTGCCTTTCTCCCACTCCTTCCTCCTCCTGTCCTCCCCCCTGGCCTGCTCTCGCTGCCCTGTACAGCCTGTCCAGGAAGAAGAGAAGCTTATGTCTTCAGGGAGCCTGGGCAGAGTCAAAATCAAGAAGAACTTGGACAGTGCCTGCGATAACGGGACCCTGGCGTGTTCTCGCTCTCTAGCATGTACGGAGCTGAATGGATCTCTGCTAGAACCGAGTGGGCTGCTGGGATGTTTGGGCGTGGGTTGACCTGCTGTCCCAGGGAGGAGTGGCCCGGAGGTCGCTGGTTCTGGCACCTTTTGGGAAAATCCCATGAGTGATGCTTGAAAATCACCCTTTCCCATTATCCCTCCTTACCAGATAGACAAGTACAAAGCCCTGAGTGACGGAGAAGCTAAAAAAATCCATTTCTGAATGTGGATGACAAAAAGGGCGAGAAATGGCTCCTTCCATCAGACCAGCTCATCCACTTCGAAGCTCTGTGTGGTGGTTCTCTACGACTCGCATCTGCCCCAAGCAAAATTGGTCAGAAGGAATCGACAACCTCCACCATTCCAAGGCTAGTCTCTCTGGTCCTTGCCTCCGTCCCCTCCCACTGTCCCGTTCTGGAGACCATGTGGCATAAGGATTGTCCTATGTAAGCATGGTGTGCAGTTTCTCCCGTCCCCTCCTCCTCTGTGTCCTAGTCACACACAGCTCACCACGAAGAGAGCCTGTGGGCGCTGGACTGGACGGGGCGAGTTCCCGTACAGAGGAGGCAGGAGGCGAGCTCTGCCCTGGACTGCCTTACCAAGGCTTCAAAGTCTGCCCAGCCGGACGCAGGATGCCCAGCCACTGTGCAGGTTGGCGAGAACCCAGGCAGGAGTGTGCGTGCACCTTTTAGCAGAGGGGGTAGATGGTGACCTGCAAGGACGCCACCAGGGAAACCCCAAGCGGAAACCTGAAAACCAAAAAGTAAACCAACAAGGCAACCCAGAATGAATACAAAATTACCTTTTGCTGAAAGACAGGAAATAAATATCTAAAACAACAGCGAGAACCTGAGGTGACTGATGGAGAGAAGGCGGGCTCTGTTATCTTCTAGAAGCTTCCTCCTGGTTCTGGGACCAACTCACACAGAGGTAGATTTTAAGAAGGTGGTTTTGTTTTTGTTTTTACTACGGTGCTGATGTATATGTAATGTCCAAAAAAAAAATTATTTGTACATAGGTTTTTACAATACTGCAGATATCACTGGGTCTACTATCTGTAAAAAAAATATATATATACATATAA